AGCTGTTGAAACAATGGATTACTACTCCTCAACATTTCCTGTTAAAATCATAAAAAGAATAAAACATGAGAATATTAAAGTATATTTATAAAGCTAATAATGATAGTAGTTGCTATTTTACCTCTATATACTTTTCGCTGAAACTTGAAAGAAAACAAAAACATTTATCTTAAAAAAATTAGCAATGTTTGAGATGGATATTTTTACCTTAAAATATATTTTTAAACTGGCAAAACATACCATAAAATTCATTAATCTTTTTTTGTTCAAATACGAAAATAAAAATGTAAAATAATTTATAAAATGTGTATACTTAAACTAATGGTGAATATGTTAAGCTGTAAGTGTTCTAATTTTATAAAAACATTACAAGTTGTTTTTAAGACTCATAACATGGATAAACTAATATGTAAAAATATATACAGACTGTTTTCTACAATAAATACTTTTTCTTTAATTGTGAGTTTACTGGTGCATTCATTGTTGAACAGAGTACTAAACAATACAAACTCATTTCTCCATGGAACACTATTTTTAAAAGACAGATGTTTAAGCAACAAGTCTACAAGTTCAGAACTAAGTCAATTAAAAAACTATTTTGCACTACAACAGATATTTTGCAACCATTTACAAATGTTGTGTTTAAAAATCATCATTTTAACTAAGGTACTTAAATTATTTCAAAGTAAGTATTAAAAACAATTAATATTTTTTATTTTCAAATATTTTTCTCAGTTCCATTAATTTATGTAAAAATATATTATATTTACTGTAACTTTTTCCTGATAAATAAACCAAACAAATATCAAGGGTTCTTTTAGTTTCCGAGTACAAATCAGAAAGTCAAAATAACAAGTACATAGTATGCTGAGGTATTAAATTTAATGACTGGGCTGATTAACATATTCCTTGAGCTGGTTTAGGAAGTAAAAAGATGAAAGAAAAACTTTCAAATACTTTAAAAGTACTTCAGACAGAGAAAATGGATATTTACTAATAAGAAAACTGTAACACCAATCGTACTTTCTTCAATTTATACAACTGATAGAAACTTTATTAAGTATTTAAATATCAAACAACAAACACACATAAATATTTATTTCCAAAAGATTTCTAGTTTTGAGAATTTTTATTTTACAGTGTTTAATACATTTCACTTCAAACTCTTAAGTAACATGTACTTTGACTTTAAAGTTACAATGTCATTCTAATATATATACATATATAGTAAAGATGGGAATGAATCAGACTCAATCTCAGTTTTTAATTAAAAAACAACAACATGAACACACATATAATAAGAATAAAAAGTACTTGGCATTATATTTAAAAGAAGGTAGATAAGATATATGAGCATTTAATTTTGTTATCCTAAATTATCATCATGCAACACAGAGGGGCATTCACAATCAATGGTATCAATGCAAGAGTGAGTAACTAGGCCTTATAGCCCCTTCTTGCACTACCAAGTGTTCTATGTGAAAGTTTAATATAATGGTACAGCATAGATTCAAACTTCATTTTCCATCTTGAAAAGGAACTGGCATGTTGATTAAAACGTGTGCCTGAAGGCTTTGTCTTGATGAAGCCATACCTTATTGACATTTGGTTCATACAATGACATTAATTTCTAGTGATACAGTAATGTCAGCACATTAGCATGAGTAAACACGGATAATCTTGGCATTCTTCTATGATTTCCAGATGTTTAACTTACAATTATACCCGTAAACTGTAATCACTATAAAGCTATTGCAAATCTTTTATGACAGGCTTTGTACCATTTCTAAAAGCTGTACCACTCTCAAAACAATAATCAATAGTCCGGACTTTTCTGCAGTCAAATAAATACACACATTTTGTCCACTGAAGCTTTACGTCAAAAAACTCAGATGGGGCCAAGTTACTTGTAAATAATCCAACTGAAACAAAATGAGATGACCAAAGCTTATGACCTATATAGTCACAAGCCATAGATATGGCTATGAACAAGGTGGTTAGGTATGTATATTTATACCACAGATTGTGAACAATCCTAAATGTCAAATCAATTTCCTCACAGCATTTATAGCAGCACACCAAACACAAATAGAAATTTAAATACTTTACCAATTAGAGTGTTACGTTTTCCATCAGCACCAACAAGCACATCAAACTCATATTGTGAAACAGGGTGGTCAGGAGGTAGCACTTGAGCCCGCCACCCAACTCCTTTAAATGAAAACAAAAAGAATCAGTGAAAGTTGAACACACCTATGTTCAATTATAAAAGCTGAAATAATATATATACGCACACACATATGAAGAAGTAATACTATTTTTCTAAATACAAAATACAACACCCAACTTTTCAACTATTCCAAGGTATATATGAAAACAAACACAATCTTCTTAAACAGTATTTAACATCTGTCTCTCTTTTTCTTATTTGTGTTTATCTATATATATATATACACACACACAGCATTTTGTCTAACAATAAATTTATCTATCATTGTGTGTCTGTG